GAGTCGATATTTTTCTAAGACCATTTAGTGCTTCACATAATAAAATACACAACGGCTGTAGCCTGATTATGCTTTAGGAGCTGTAGGCGTGTGTGGTACAGTGTGTACTGTAGGTGTGTGTGTGGTACAGTGTGTGTGTGTGTGTGTGTGTGTGTGTGTGTGTGTGTGTGTGCTGTTTAAATGGATGTATGATTGTTTAAATTTGATGGTATGTTGTTTGTGCGTGCAAAAATACTGAGCATCATTCCTGTTTAGTGCTCCCTCTTGAACTTTTCTTTAATGTCAACTCGTAAATCTGTTCACCCTGCTCAGTTCCTCTCCCCCTCCTTTTGCTGCATGGTGTTGCAGTGAGGCACCACCTTTTCTGGATTTCATTCTGCACCTTTATAGTCCTGACATTTTGCAGCTGCCCCCTCAGAATTTTCACCTCTTAATTCTGGATAAATACTAGTGATTTATTTACCTATGGTACAATTAATATAGAGGTAGGGTAAATACTGTTTATCTTAACTATGAATTGACCTTTACCACAGTGTATGTTTGAGAAAAAACGACATATGGATTTAGCCTCTGCAGAGCAGCACTATTTATTCTATGGCTTTACTGTAGCTGTATTTCAAAGCTTCTGTTGAAGAATAGTGTTTTTTTCCTGCTGTGATAGATTGTGGATGATGGTGATGGGAAAAAAAGGGTTATGGGGAATAAAAAAATCGCAATGACAAACGCCAGGCTTGAAAGCATAATAGTGCAGTTCAGTATATTATCACACACTGTCCCACTATCCATATTTTCAAGCCACCTGAATGGGACAACAAAGTCAGATTATACTCATGTTGTCTACCTGAGTATGAAAAACACAGGTCTTTGTTGATAGATGTAGTAGAAGTTCTGCTAGATGTTTCCATAACATTACACTGTATAATGTATTTGGTTTTTAAAGCTCTGTATAATGTATATACAATGTATATATGCAATACAATTCCAACAGTATCTCAAGTGTCAAAGTTCCAGGGAATAATTGATGGCAGTACTGAGTAACAGTGGCAGCTAACTGAGAGCCATCCACCTTGCAGGCACTCTGCAGTAGAGCGGTTTTGTGTTAAACTGTTGAGAAACTAAAGAAATGGAAAGCCAAACACAACGAATGATTGAAGCCTCAGCTGCTGTATTTCTATACAAATCACAGCAAACACATTCTAACATCTTACAGAAGAAATGTGCTTCAATGTGTCCGACCAGAGGTTGTTTCTGGCTGTAGACCCTTATCAGTGTATTTGACAAAAGATAAATGTATAGAAATAGCTCACTTCGCTCTCGCTCATTTTCTTAGATTTAGTTGTAAACAGTAGAAAAACCCAAATCATATCCTTGCCTAGTCACGCATGAATATATGATAGACAGCAAATACAAGTAGAGTCAAAGCCTAATATATTAAAGTCCAAACACCATCACCAGCCCCCCTAGCAGCTTGTCTGTTTGGTATTCTATCTTGTGACAGTAACATGCATAAATGCTCTTGTTAAAGCAATGAATGGGCTCATCTAACAGAAAACAGTAAGGCCTGGTAAGCTAGCTGAGGAAGAGTGCTGAGAGAGCTGATCTGGCTGCAGTGCTACCATTTATTTCTCTCCATGTATTACAGTTGACTGAGGCATTCATTGTAAGCAAATTGTAGTGTGGTATTGTATAGACACACAGCTGTGTGCATTTGATAATATTTGTTTCCCTCCCTTAGTGTCTGTTTCCTCTCAACCTCACTATTTTCAATCTCTCTCTGTCCTGCAGCCACAACCTGAGGGCTACATCATTTCGGCACCCTGTCACAGGACAGATATCCCCTGAAAACACAGAATACACACTTCAAGACAGGTGAGTCACTCTTTTCCCCCCGGTAATCATGCATACTCTGCATGCTTAAATGTACAGATAGGTGAGTTCAAGGTCATGCGGTTGGACTGGAGTCCAGAAATCGACTGGGAAATCACCCTCCCTGATGAAATCTATTATGAGGGGGGTGGGGGAGGATGTCTATTCAACAGTACAGTCAGTTTCAGGTAATTGGAAATGAGCTGCCAACAAAGTGAAAACACTAAAGGAGGAGCATTGTAATAGTTGTCATCATATTGAATGTATTCATTACCATCATGGCATTTGTAATTGACTGCACTCGATCGTCAGTGGCTTTGGATCCCAGATGGCTCATAAGTATTATTCTTAAAATGATTGCCTTAATGGAATTTATGGTAATGGCACAACTGACACCCATATACGCTTTTGACTGTGTTAATATCACATCTGGTGTCATGAATCTGTCTCCTCAACAATCAGCCAAGTTATTTATTATATTTCCTCCTGGTCCATTTAGGCCATTTTTCTCACTATAGTTGAAGTTATAAAAATGAAACCTGGCGTTGTGCTTCTGACCTTGTTACCAGCATTGACAGAATATCCCCAATATCTCTCTATGTCAAGCAATTCTCTCCAACAAGTCTTTGAAATAAGAGGCAACATTGGGTTGTTTTATTTGCTGCAGTAAACTGTACAACGCCATGGCATGGCAGTTGTATTTATTATTGTTGCTTTAATATGTCATTATGTGAAACTCACACTGCAAAGCCGTCAAAGCTGCACGGCAGGTTGAGAGCACAATACAAAACAGCAGGTGTCTGATAGTATTTAAGCTGGCTGGTGTAATATGATCATGCATAGCACAGATTCCACTTAAGGCAAATGCAGGTTTAGATACAAGCATGTGACCTTCACACTCCCACTGATTAAGATATGTTCTGTTAAAGCAATGCCTTTAAGTTCTGTTGAGCCAGGGATTTGTATATCATCAAGAGGCTTCAAAGTTACGGTTGCCTTACTTGCACATTTCACCGTTGAAATCATTGTTCTTTTAATGTGACATGCCAGTCACACTCTCTATAAGCTATGGTCAAATATCATCAGTTTTATTCACCTCTTTTAACAACATGACAAGTATGATATGAGAGGAGCAGGCAAAAGTTACAAAACGTAGTCTATTCTTATTTAGATTTGGTAGATCTTCTTACAGTTTTAGGCTGCGCATATATCTACACTTTCTCTTACTTAAGCTAAGCCACAGTAAACACATCCCATGAGTTAAACACATCTCCTGTGATATGTTCTATTTTTTATCATTGAAAGAGGTCAGTAACTTTCTCTGTTCATCAGAGATATTGATGACTGAGAAAGATAAGTTTGTCAGTACATGTTAACATTTAAAGTAGTCTTTCCAACTGGTTACATCCTTTCCAGTATTTCCCTAGGTACGTTATCTGTTTTAGCATTTATCTTCAGTTTGCTTTGATAAGAATGAAGAATTATTATATAACTATGTTTGTGGATTGATTTAGCCTAAGCTCAGTCTTAAACTAAGACTACTTAAAGATTGTCTGAAGGAGGAGAGTTGAAAAATAACATATTTTGTGCATATGGGTCAACGTGGAAGTGGATTTTAAGCAGCTATTTTACCTCTAGCATCTAATCCAATCCTCTCTGCAGTACACACACACTACTACATGTTGTGTACACTTTCCTTCAAACCATGTCTATTTGCTGTATTGACGCATACTTGGGGCCTCTCTCTTGCACCCTTTTTATCACAAAGCAGTTTTGCAGTTTAGTTAGTTAGAGTGTAAAAGCTGGGTTGCAGCCTTGATTTCTAATGTTTGATACACAGACATTCCTGTAGCATCAAAATGTTGCTTCTGTTAACTTTCACAGGGAAGTTATCGGATTATTCTGTGTATAATGATATCTGAAAAGTAAGTTGGTTTCTTCCATGAATCATTGACTGCCCTCCAAGTAAGGAGAACCTCAGTGTGTTCCCTGGAGACCCGTATCGGATTGAGGACAGAGCGAGAAGGAAATAGAGCTTCAGGAGGTCCTTCCCCATGGCGGGGTCGATCAGCCTGTGCTTTGATGGCCTGGAGGCTTTGCCTTTGTTATAGATTATCACACTATGATCAATTCGTCAACTCACCCGTGTGCACCCAGTGCCTTAAAGGATTAGAAAATGTCAAATATGCCCTCATTTCGATCATACAGTAGCCAGAGAAGCTGAGTGAGATGGAGCTTAGTGTTTTTACACTACGTTATGTGAAATATCACTCCTCTCGACCACATGCCACAACAAATCTCCAGAGGAACTGTTCCTATGACAGTTGTGGTAAACAGTATGAAAACTTCACAAACAGCAGACAGAGTCGCTTTGATAGGACAGAAGCAGCCTGTAAAAATGCTGGCTGCTGTCCAAGCTTTGAGTGCAGACACTGTAGGTTTGTTCCACTGTGGTCTCTCTCTTTTTCTTCTTCTGACAAACACCTCTAGCTTATCATCTTTTCCTCAGCTTCTGTGTTTTACAGCAACACAACGCAGGAGAAAACAACAGGGTAGTGCTGCATTCAACCCCTTTGCAGGAACAATGCAGAGGCTAGCAGCAGTGTTGTCAGAGGCAGGTCACACATTGTTTCCTTTTGGAAGTTCACTCAGTCAGGAAGAGGCTCTGCTAAGCCCTGGACAGTTGCCAGACAATTTTGCTGGCTAACTAGGCGCAGATGATTTTTACAAATGTTGCGTAATGAATTATGTTTAAAGTGATGTATTCATTAGTCATACAATTAATTAATTAATTAATAACACAAGTGCTATTGAACAATCATAATATGAGGTTGTTTCCAGGTTTATTACAGTCAATTCCTTTTAATCCATTGGTCTGCATAGTTTTATGGTTCAGTTCTCTGGAGGTTTACACAAAGTGCGCATTAAATATCAGCTGGAACTGTTTCGTTATCAGAACAGAATACAATTCCTGAGATACATTTTTGTGACTTTGTTAAATCAAACTGATCATGGCTCCATTTTCAGCACTATCCATGATGCATCTCTTTTTGAGCCCGAAGTACAAGTTGCTTCAGCCTGGGAATAAAGTCTTAGAAATAGTATTGCTACATGAGAACAGAAATGTACAGTGTAAACAAAGGTTGTTTTAGGCCTTAATACCTTCTTTGTAATGAAATCAATAACAATAATTGTCACTTGACCCAAACTTTGATTTCAACTAAGCTTAATTCTCATGTTGACTTCTCTGTATTCATAGTGATATTGTGAGGTAATGAGGAAATGTGAGGTGCGATGTGGATAGAAGGTGTGTGTGTGTGTGTGTGTGTGTGTGTGTGTGTGTGTGTGTGTGTGTGTGTGTGTGTGTGTGTGTGTGTGTGTGTGTGTGTGTGTGTGTGTGTGTGTGTGTGTGTGTGTGTGTGTGTGTGTGTGTGTGTGTGTGTGGTGTGTGTACGATGTGTCTGAAAGGGTCACTGGAGTGTTTGGAACACGAATCCTCCCCAGTTAACAGATCCACCAGAGAGCCATTGGCTGTGACAGGTCGCGTGGCGGTGTCAGGAAATAGTCATATCCTTTATATGTGAAAGCTCAGCAGAGAGGTGTGCCCTGTTTCCCTTAGTGTCTGTAGTTTGTCCGACGAATTAAGAAGGAATATCACTGTCAAATGCTTCTAATCCTGTTCGTGTTACTGATCTTCTCGTCTGCTACCTTGTCTACTGTAGGATAGAAGCCCGTATGTCCAAGTCAGCGGCCAATCAGAGATCCCCGGGCATGGTCACAGACGCCTCCAAGGCTGTGACCCCAGCAGCAGTGGAGGCCAGCTCAGTGTCAAAGGTGAGGATCAGTGATTGTCTTCACAAAGTGCTCATCTGTTTATGTGGATTTGGTTTTCTTGTCAGTTTTACTGTAAACTATCCAATAATATTTTTCATAGAAAATCAAAATGTTTTTTTTCAAACTCAAAATGTTATCCTAACTAAGCAACAATTATTCTTGGGTTAGTGAATATCTTTAGGAACTCTCTTGATGTTTGCTAATGCTTTTGTTGATAAACTGGTTCAATCAACCCTAGACATAATCTAATTCTGATTATTGGCCACAAATAGAAATGATGTACACAAGCAGAATAAAACTCAGATGCACATCCTCAGGGACTGGAAAGGGGTCTGGTGTACAGAATGCATCTTTGCAAAATACTTGCTGGTGTTTCCACAGTGATCATGGACATATTTTTTACACTAAATATGTGACACACTTTGTCAATGTTTCAATACAACTGGACTATAAAGACGTTTTTTTGCAATTTTCTTTTTAATCTCTTACTTTGCAGTAGTTTTCAAAAAGCAATTATTCAATTTAGAAATATTTAATACAAACACTTTTGATAATTGATTAAACTTTTATACATTTTTTGAATGTCAAATGCCAAACAATTGTATGGTCCTTTAAATGTTAACCTTGCTGCTTTTCTTGTTTCATTTAGTAGCACGGTACGCATTGTGTTGTTGTAAACTGTGGATCTGACAATATCGCAATATTGAAGACGTTTCCTTGGCTTTTATAAAATACATTCTTAACTAATTTTCCTGGCATTTTATGGACCAATTTATTATCAGATAACCAGATAATGTAAAGAATAACACTTTTTATATGTCATTATTTGTGTGATTGACTCACTTTACCCTTTGGTGTTTTTTCATTTTGTCTGATTAAAACATGTCATATTTATGACTCTGTACGAGGTATTTGTCCCTTCAACATTTGTGTCTTTTTTTAGCCAGCTGGTCAACCCGACATACCCAGGTATTTCAGTAGAAATGCACCTGAAAAAGCACAATCAAAAAAATGTAGTCTGAAATGGCCTTGTCTAAAAATATGCCTGATTATAAATGGATGCACACATCCACAGGAGTAACCAGTTGGTATTTCCTTTTTCCTCATGAGTGTTAGAAGAATGGAGTTCCAGGAAAGTTATTTTTTCCTTATTTTTTCCTTATTTTTACACAGTTCGACTTTCTACTAAATACTATGTTTTATCTCAGGTAAGCAAAGTAAATTGGATTACAGTTCTTCAATAAAGCCCCCACATAATCAACTCTTTTTTTAATGCTTTCTACAGGGCTCCAGAGGATTGGGAAAAGTACACAGTTTTGGCAAGAGGGATCATGCTATCAAAAGAAATCTCAACATCCCAGTGGTGGTGAGGGGCTGGCTCTATAAACAGGTGAGCTGGTGTTCCTCTGCTTTATTGTTAGTCTTAAAGAAAGACCCCATCTGCCATGAAAAAGAGAATGTGTGAGAACTTGTAGAGTTGAATAATCTATTAAATGTAACCTTTACAAATTGAATTCTCAGATGGCCCTTACAAATCTTACTTAAGGTGTAAGACACACACACACACACACACACACACACACACACACACACACACACACACACACACACACACACACACACACACACAACAGATTTGTGCCAAATGCTGCAAATGAAAAATAAACTTATATAAATTGATTGTTTTAATTATATGAAAAAAGCCTTCTCTCCCCCCTTGCTTTCCACTAACGGTCACTGTATTCCTGAACTACACTTTTAATGAAAAAGAGAATTGAAATGTGTTCCTGCGAGGAGGATTTCTTGACACGCTGTGTGTTGTGCTTCCCCTTTACCTCCAGGACAGCTCTGGAATGCGACTGTGGAAAAGGAAGTGGTTTGTTTTGTCAGACTACTGCTTGTTCTACTACAAAGGTGAGTCTATGAATCATGCACTTCATTAAAAATAAATAAATGAAAATGGTCGTACAAACATTCACATTCTCCTCTAAGGGAAGATTAGTATCGTGATTAAAACATGTTATGACTACATGTATGACATATATTGCTACTTCTTATTCTCCTCGACTTTCTCTTCCTACCACTTCTCCTTCCTTATTAACTTGAGTGTTTTATTATGGGATGTAATTTGTGCTTGTGTTGCCAGAGCATCTACCTCCTCTCCACAATTAATCATACTGAATAATAGATGAGCCACATGCCACCTCGTGCTTCATGCAGCCACATGGCCTGGACCAGACAGGAGTCACCCATGATATATGCCTTGCTAATTTTCCTGCTGTTCATAAATCTGCAGTCACTTGTAAACATCGTAAAAGATCTTGGCAGAATTAGAGATTGTTGTTTGGGATTTTACAATACTCTGTGTGTGTTCTCTCTTCACAGACAGCCGAGAGGAGACTGTGCTCGGTAGCATCCCTCTGCCCAGTTATGTCATTGCACCAGTTGAAGCTGATGATCACATAAACCGAAAATACGCGTTCAAGGTAACACTGAAGTGCCATTGAATCCGAGGTTATGTCAATGGGTGGAGCAAAAAGTGTTTACTCCTGCAGATTTCATTGCTAAAAAATCTTTTGGTAACATCCCTCACATACTGGTTTTCTCTACTGTGGTCTCGCAGGAAGGAAGAGTGGGTACTCCCTGCTGCAAATATCTATTTTTTCCATTGTTTTTTTGACAGTTTATGATTTACTATCAGGGCTGGTTATAGAACTTCAGTACCTATGTTTCTATGGCTGCTTGTATAACAATAAGCAGCCATGAAACTCTGATGTGTTTGGGAAGCCTTCTTATTTTGTTACATATCCAGAAAAGGTTTAGTATGAAACAAAATGTATCTAAGCAAAATAAGAAAAAATAATGGTTTATTTCCTGCACTGAAACGGGGGTGTTTTGCATTTGATCACAGAAAAATTCAACTTGTGTTCACTTTTGGTCAAGAAATATTTTGTATTCAACTCAGCATGTGACTTCGTATATCTAGTCCAATTGTGTAGAGTGTTGCTGAACTTCTGACCTCATGGTGGCTGATTTTTTTTTCAAACCCAAGGGTGGGTGTTACTATAGATGGCTACAGTACATGCCTTTATGTATTCTGCTCACTTGTGAATTCTGATTTTATTAACCTTTTGTGATAAGGGGCAGAAGTACACTGGCTTTCGGTAGCCCTACCAGTGTAAAGGCTGCAGCAATGCAGTTTCAATATGGTGTGCACAGTGCGAAAGCTTATTTTTTGAATCTGAATGGCACATAATAACTCGCCTATAATACTTTACCCAATACACCCAGCCCACTTTTTGTAATAATGGCATTTGTATTTTTAAATGTGTGACAGCACTTTTTCTTAAATGCGGCAAAGTCATTTTTTGTTTTCTGTCTGCGGATTTTGCCAGCGGACTGAAAAGGATTTATGTATTTTGGTTACAGCAAGAGTGTTAACAGTATCCAGCTCCTCCTTTGTGGAAACACAGAGCTTGTTGCAAAGAACAATAGTGCCTGATGTTTGATGCACCACTGCAGCTTCAGGGCATTCTGTTGCAATCCTATCAGCTCCTTTGTACTTTGGCTTTTGTTCTGGGATCCTGTGTGTAGTGTATGTGTGTCTGAGTGTGAGACATGTCTGTGTAAGCGTGAATGTGCAGTACATGTCTCCTGTGTTTTAAATATCATATAAGATACAATGGAATTTGTATGATAATTATGCTGTTGCTGGATATATTAATTATGCATTCAGCATATTCAGCGTCTCTTCCCACCACTTGCTGGGGAGTATATGTAAGGTTAGGTTAAATGAGCCTGGGCTCTGCTGCATCACCCTGTATTTAAGAGATCCCTGTTCTCCCAGCTCTCTCTGAGCCATCATGCATTAAAGAGTAGGAGATTTCATTACAGGTATCCAAGGGGCTTTGGAAATTCTCTGTTACTGCTAAGTAAGCATGACAGCATCTCCGTTGTTGTCTGGTGTTGTTCAACAACAGGATTTTTAACTGTTAGAGCTGCTGACAGACAGTGTGTGCTGGCCTGAATAATAACACAAGTAAACTGAGAATTGACAATGTAGTGTAAAGTAGTTATACTCAAGTTTACTTAAAGCACTGACGCCCTGATGCCATGATGATGTGTCAGAGTGTAGTCTCCAGTCTTTTGATGCTGAAACTCATTCTTGCTTCTGTGACGACTGCCATAAGACCACAGCTGGAGCCATTTATGTTCTTTCTTATTGAGTCAGCAACTTCCTGTTATTTTTCTCATCTTACTGTGTTTCTCTCATTCCCTGTTGGTCAATTGCCTCCCATTGTGACCCGGTGTGTGTGCGCGGGCGGAGTGAGTACTGTTATCTGCAGGCAGTCGTCCTCAATCACACTGGCTTCCTGTCTTGCATGACTAGGTATTTGATTTCACATCAGCCTCATCAGTTTTACTGCCACCCTCACCTCATTTTGTTTCATACTATGCTAGTAGCTGATGGATGCACATTTATAAATGTGCATCAAAGTTTCATCATGTACAGACATCACTACAGTTATCTATGGGCAACACCAGAGCACATTGGGTTCATTAGTTTAAGTATTTTGACAGGAATATATTTGGTAATGAATTTAAAAATGAAGCACATAGTCCCCCAAATCTAGGACAATGTGAGAGGACTACTACAAGACTGCAGTACCTATAGTAAACTGCACATGCAAAATGTCCTTTGAGAAGAGAGACACAGAGAGCACTTTATCCTCAGTTAGCCAGAAACCGTTTTCAGAAATGTGCTCAATGTTGAACAAGACACTCACAATGCCAAGTCGATTTATTTGATCAGTCTCATGTACCCGGTGGTGGCTTTGGTATTTGTCTTGTGAAGCTGCCTATCATTTATCACATTGTCATTGTCATTGGAGTGGTGGTTGTCTCAGCCATTTTTCTTTCAACCCTCTCTGATTTCATTGCATTACTTTGGATGTTTGTTGACATCACCAACCCCCCTTGCTGTAAATCATTTGTATTTATGTTTAACAATAGACAATACAATATATGTGTTTTTTGTCTTGAAGCAGGCTCATTGTCAGATTCTTAGGTGTGATTTACATTCACATATTGCCTAAAGATTGTTATAATGATTTCATTCCCTTTAAAGTCTTCCAAACTAATACATTCTGGTGATCATTGGTGGGTAAGGGTATTTTAAATAGCTCAAATACTTCACACAGTTTATTCACTTATAAGTTTAAAAATCACATTGACATGTGTAGATGTGAAGCCCTGTGTGATGTGCTGTGGACATTTTATTAACAGACTAATAAACGGGCAGGGCTCTCTTTAAATTAAGTCTATAGCACTTGGTATAGAATTGTGTTACATATGTACCCTAACCCTTTTATTAAGGGTTAATGGAGGTATTTCTGTGAGGAAAATCAAGATTGTATTTTCATAATAACTGGACCCTTTTTCTTTCACTGTGGATAACCTCTTGCAGACTCTGCCTCTTTCTATTGAGCATGTTTTGGTATTTGACTTTGTGAATGATGAATATTATACTCTTTTGACCATTTCTTCTGTATATAATTCATTTCATTCTTGTGATGTGAATGCTTTTGTTGCATTTTTGGCAACCATTCATGAATGTCGTTATTAGTTATCAATTCATGTGAAATAGCTTACACAAAAACATTGTGTGGAGCTCTGCAGTATTATTAAGCAAAACAACTTTTAAACACTCTTTTACTTATATTGAGTAGATACGTGAATGTTTTTGCAGATTTAAATGAGAAGCTATGTGTAATACTATGAAGTAAGAAGAAATGTGGGAAAAAACAAATATGCTGCTGAATGCTCCTTCACTGTGGTACTGCTGGTTGTCTGCATCATAATTGTGTTGATTTGGTCCCTAACTGTACCAAAAAGCTTGGAAAGATTTACAACACGGCATAGATCTAATGAAAGGTAAGTTAATGTTTGTGCTAGGTGGTTATGTATATATTGACCAATAACAGGTGGCCATCATTTACTTTTTGTTTGCTGCAGCTGCTGTCAAATTTTTTGTGGCCTAAAGACAGTCTTTTCCTAAAGCTTTTGGAAAATAAAACCTGTGTTATGCTCTTTTTTCTTGCCAGGAACAGCACAATCTTAATGCTGTTTCTGCTGCAGCATTTTGCTCCCTCTCTATTATTATATTTACCCAAATGTTGCTGTAAAATGTGTCCCCACTGTCAATTTTAGTAAACACTTATCAGGCTTTCTGGCAGCTTTTTCCCATCTTCAGTAAGAAGTTCTCATATCCATCCTCTCTTTCTCCACCTCTCTCCCTTTGATAGGCGAGCCATACAGGAATGCGCTCCTACATTTACAATAAGAACTCTGTGATTGGCTCACAGGCAGAACACTGCGGGATGCGGACATATTTCTTCAGTGCGGACACACAGGAGGACATGAATGGCTGGATCCGGGCCATGAACCAGGCTGCGCTGATGCAGCAGAGTCACACTGTAAAGAGGTTGGTCTCTCTCACCAGAGTACGATTAGTTTCTCCCGTTGGCTGGGCTTCGACTAACATTTCGCCCTCCCTAAAGCGCAGCGGTCTATGAGAACTGGATATGTTTTAAGACTAAATCATAAAGGCTCCCTGGGTGTCACAGTATTCAACCAAACAGCAATCATCCGTTTTGCTAAAGCATGTGTTGCTATAACTTAGGTTTCAAAAATGAACTTTTTCCAACCAACACGTGCTTTATTTTAACAGCTTGAGCTGTCTTCTACAGCAGGTCCATCCCCGTCCATCTGCTCTGGGGCGCGCGCGTGTGTGTGTGTGTGTGTGTGTGTGTGTGTGTGTGTGTGTGTGTGTGTGTGTGTGTGTGTGTGTGTGTGTGTGTGTGTGTGTGTGTGTGTGTGTGTGTGTGTGTGTGTGTGTGTGTGTGTAACCACATTTATGTTGACAATATTCACAAGCGATGGCATATATAGTCAGCCTGAGACTTTGTGGCTACTGAAACTGAGCCCTTTGCATTTAAAGCTGCATTAAGGTTTCTTAGATAGGCTGCGTGCACTGCATGATTTAAATGGTCTTTGCAATGTCGCCTCCTAGTGGCTGATGTGGCTCAACACTCCTGATATTTGTATTTGAAAAGCACAGCATTTGATAAGACACCCCTTGATCCCTTGGAATTAAACATTATTACTATGGTATGTTTTACACTTCTGAAGTCATAATAAGCTCAAACAGTACATTTCCTGTGAGATGTATGTGAGGTCATCATTTCTATATCTACTATATGGTCCCCATTGGTCACCTTATTGCTATTCTTACCTTAATATTTCACCTCTAAGAACTTTTTGAAAGAACAGCACATTTCCTTAAGCTAAAGTCAAAGGGACATTTATGTTTAGTGCGAATTCCCTCTGCATGCATTGTCATACAAATATGATAGAAACATACAGATAGAAAGTAATGTAATGTCCCATGGTCTCTGAGATCTCTCTGAGAGAAACATAGATATTAATCTTACTCATTGTTTAAGTGTCTCTGTGAATTGAATGGCAAATTACCTTAATTTGAGTGTTTATTGTGATTTTTATCCATTGTATAATGCCATGTTATCCCTCTTTTCAAGAACAGTGCTACATTCCATCATACTATAAGGTGAAAAGGGGGAATTACAGTACATGTTGAGTAAAGCCATTCATTTAAATTCTGAACAGGCAGGACTTACTTGTTTAATCCTAATTTCTTGATTTTTTAGAGAGTTGGAGAATCCAAAGAAGGCTGTGCAGCAGGCTGTGCAGCAGGCTGTCCCACAGACCAACCACGTCCACATCAACCAGAAATCATCTCAGTCAGAGTGCCGTCGCAGGACAGAACCGGACATTGGGATCCACCTGGCTCATGGAGACGAGGTGAGGTATGGATTACAGATTCAAGGCAGGCCCAGCCAGTTGGTCGCAGAGGAAAGAGCAGAGAGACTCTCTCCAGACTCTGACGATGGTGCCGCCCACAAGAACGGACAGCAAACTGTAATCGAAGTGACTCTGCCTCCAGAACAGAATGGAAATATTGTCTATCAGAGGGGATTTGTGTCGCGCGGAGACCCTGGGAAACATGTGCAGAGAAAGAATACACTGGCTCAGGTGCAGCAGTGGGTCAAAGTTCACAAAGGGGACCCACCAAAGAGGTTAGTTAAGGCAGTTCTTAAAAAAGCATCATCAACATAGATTTAAAAAAAGAGTAAATACCTCCCTCTAGTGGCTAATAAGAACACTTGTGTATTTACATTTGTCTATTTTATTTAGAAAAATCATTGTCAATGTGGATAGGTTAAATTATATTGAGAGAGATCAAATAAAAAAACATACATGTGTTTTCTGTCTCAGTGCTCCCTCTGCTGAATACCAACTCCCTCGGCGGACTCCTCCATTAAAGCCCAAAGCCAGCACAGTGGATGCCTCCCATCAGTCGTTGCCAAAGTCTCCCCGTCTCCCGTCAGGCAGCAACTCTCCTCCAGCAACATGCAACCTGCCCAGCGACTATAAGTACGCCCATGACCGGCTTAGCCACTTCCGCATGTCCACCGATGAGCGCACGGCCACTAAGGAGGGGATGGTGTGGCAGCTGTACGAGTGGCAGCAGCGGCAGCAGTTCCGTCATGGCAGCCCCACGGCCCCTATCTACACCGGCCCCAACTTTACAGACTCTTCATCTTTCAGAGTTACGGTGGAGATGCCACGTTCCCTCTCTGTCCCACCATCCCCTTGTGAAGTCCCACCGTCAATCCCCTCCTTCAAACCCCTGTCCCCTCGCAGGCCACACACTCCTTCAGACAGACGCACAGTCAGGCCCCTGGACAAAGTGGCCCCCGGGGACAGCACAGGATCCAGCTCCCCTGGCCATATCTGTCTTTCTCAGGTAGGACACCTGCCTAGGGAGGAGAGGCATCTCTGACTATTTTAGTATCCTTGGCAACATTTGTAATAATGATATTGATATTATCATTATCAAAAAGGGAATCGATAGGCATCTATTTTGATAATAAATTAATTGTTTGAGTCAGTTTTCAAGCAAAACATCAATCATTATCTGTTAAAGGATTCTGTAAACGTAGCATTTTCTGAATTTTTTTAATTTTATATCTCTATCATCAGAGTATCTTGGATCTTTTGGACTGTCGGTCAAACCAAAACAATTATAATTAAAGGTGACCTACCATGCAAAATGCACTTTTGTACGTGTTTTACACATGAATATGTGTCCCCGGTGTTCCAGGGAACTCACCAAGTGTCAGAAAACACAACCCTCTCTATTTTCCTTCATACCCAAATCTCTTAAAAAGGGGCTGCAACGGATCTGATACAGACTGATCCAGATTTGAACACTTCTCTGACATCACAGAAGTGGCGCTACGGCTATTGGGCCAACTCCACCAATCAGGAGGAGACAGCCACGGACATTGCCGTTCGAAAGCGCTGGAGACGCTGTAGTACATATACCAGGCCTGTAGATGGTGCTGTTCTCACAGAATCAGCCCATGCAAAGATAAATGTTAAATTGAGCGAAATGAGGAATGGCTAAAATGCATGATCTGTTTGGTATTTTGAAAAATAAAAAGTATAAATATGCCTTATATAGGTATGGTCCTACACTATATTATTCAAATATAGCATGATAGGTCCACTTTAATAATTTCTTAGTTGCAGCACTAGCTAATACACAACATCAGTGAGTCGGTGATTCCCTCAAACTAGCAAAGAAGCGTGGTGATTACCAAAGAACACCGGTGGGTTTGTTTTCCAATGTGGTGTCACACCATATGTTTTAGTTGACAATAACAAAATATTATTTTCCTGGAGTCCCAACCCAATAGTCTATCCATGGGTATAGATAATGGGTGGATAGAATCCTGTCTTTGATAAATGTATGTGCTGATACTCAGTAATTGGTGCTTTAACACTGTCAAACTTGCACATAGTAAACGTCAGTAGCCTGTCATTGGCATGGGACAGAAGCTAAATGTGATGATTCACATGCAGGGAGCCAAATGACAAAGGTCTCATTCTCACGGTAGCTCTGGATAGTGGATGTGAGGTAGCTATTGATGTGAACTTGAAGGGTGTTGTGAGCTCACAAGAACACCATGGGAAGATTAACACTAGGAGCATGAGAAGACTCTGCACACACTTTGATGCTCATGTGAATCATTTTCAGATTCACACAGTCCACACCCAGACGCCCTCCACAGGTGGTGTGAGCATGTGTGAGTAAAAGCTCTTCACCAATCCGGCGTAGGGCTCAGACAGCACCACTACCGCCGCAGGAGACAGAGCAAGGGGCCGTCCTGTCATCCACACCCTGCGCTGTCTTCCCACCACACCCTCCACATGTGAAAAGATCTCCCTCCAAACCATCACCACATTTGCCAACACACACAAGCCTCACAACCAACCCGTTGGCCTTACACAAGTAAACAAAGTGTCACAGATGCTCGGTTTCCGCCATCATTCATATGAATGTCAACGCACTAATTATAACCATAAAATACAGTGACGCACAATTATGAAAAACCCTTCAGAAGAAGATACTTTTTTAACAAAGGGAGCCACAGTGACTATGCATGGCCACTAAAGGGAGCGATGTTTATGGGAACTAGATTTAGTCTGCACTGAACTTCGTTTTTGTGCATCCAGCATCTTTCAAGCTTTCTCTCTGCGCTTAAGTAATAGCAATCTATCTGTATATCTCTGTGGGATATCATTAAGAAGTATGTTTTATTAGCGGCTAATCCAATTTGCCCAGGGCTCCTCAGCACCCTATAAACATCTCTACTGTATCTCAAACATCAGCAGCGGTCTCTTTCTTCTGATCTCGCATTTAAATAAAAAACCTATTATACAGCAAAAAAATAGTGGCATGGGAATCTCAAAGGGAATGGCTTACAGTGCTTCTCTTGCTGGTAGCAAACAAATGTTATTTTAAGAAAGCAGGTTTAGTATAATTTATGTGTAGTTAATTAAATCTCTTGTTGTTTGTGTCCTTTTAAGGTTCTTTGGTGGGCCTGGTTTTTGCTAATTCTGTGTGTTAAGCAAAAACGTCAAATCTTCCAAGCCCTGTAGCGTCTTAAACTCAGGGCACACCTTGTTTGGAATAAGAGTAGGAGTGATGAAAGGGAGAAAGGGATAGATGAAAAAATAAATCTGCTGTGTAGTCAAATTTGTTTGCCGACTTGGAGGCAATGGTTTAACTTTGATTCAGTGTGATAAAGTGTTCTATCTTTCCCTTCACACGTATTTGAAGATTACTTAGTCAATTAGCCATTCTGTTTGATTTTATGAGTTCTATAATAACAAGTTGATGTATTTTGTTTCTCTGCAGACTTCCCGAATAGAGAGAAGGTCCATGCCAGGCATGGGCTACATCACGCACACTGTCAGTGCACCCAGCTTACATGGCAAAACGGTACGATCCTCTTTATTAGATGTATTACATAACTTTATTTTCTTTATTCAAGATGTCTTTCATGTAGGATTAATATAGTTTCACATTGTGGTAGTCTAAGATAGCTTATCCAGGTTTGAACAGGAATTGTAGGGCTCATCTTGGTGACAGTGTCAAGTTGTAGAATCGGGGGCTGACTGATTTGTTAAACCCCCTATAAAGCTGGTTTGAATGCTATGCCATACGATATTTGTTTTAGCGTTATCCGTTCTGATAACCCTTATCTTCAGAGAACTCCTGATGGCACAATAAATCATCCTCCCTCTCTCAGCTACTCTAGCTCAGCCACTGTACTGCCCAGATTGTTATCAAGTATTTTCTCTTATCCCTCTGCGCTTTCACTGGCCTCCGGGCCCCTAAACCCGGGCTTGGCTACAGCCAGAGGAGCTGACTCTGCTCCTCATTCAGCTTCGGAGGCACCAGGCCAAGATGGCTAGTGTGCATAGCCCCAGCGATGCATTCGCTCACCTGCAGCACCACCACAACGGCCTTCTAGGCCCCAGCATGCAGGTCAGGGGCCACTGTACTTCCCTAACCTCTTACAGCACACTGCAACTCCCTGCCAGTGCATTGTGGTCCCACTCTCCCCAGCCACTCCCATACATTACTTCCCTATCATTCATAAGACTGTGTGGCCTGTTGGTGTTGCTTAGTTGTCTTGTTAATGCAAGCATTTTGGCATGGGCTGTTTCACTTCAGACCGTCCAGATGAGTTTCTTTATAGTTGATGTCACTCTTCCACTTTATTCAAAACACGAAAAGCTTTCAGAGGCTTGTGTTATACTAACGTCAAAAGTAATATGCCATATTCAAAGCATGTTGTTTGTCAACTATGCCTGCATTAAATACATACCTTTGTTTGGTACATGTATAACCTTGCACAGCCACAAAAGCATTCATGTCTACATTTCTGTGTGCTCTGATAAATCTTCTGCTCTTGCTATTCTCATTCTGAAGCAGCCATCAGGCCACAGCCCCCCCCCCCACAGTAAGAGCCTGTTTACCAACAGAGCATTGCTGCGAGACTAGCGAACCACAGTGAAGCTGCAACGGTGCTCAGTAATGACAACTCCACCCAGTTTCTAACATCCAACTCTGGCCATCTTCCATGCATATGAAGACATGCATACACTCAGTTTGACCACATGTCATGCACAAAAACCTGTGTTGCTCAGTTGTGTGTGAAGTTAAACACGAGGCATTAAATCAGTTTAAAATTGACATAATTAATTAATTAATTACAGTTGGGCTTTACTAACTATGGATACAAATACAGAGGTAGCAAAGTGAACTGTAATTGAGTTAATTCAAGTTCTGCTGGCAAATCCTAAACAGCAAATAAAAACCATAGGAGTCGTCTGGTCACCCATTCCCCTCTGCAGCTTCATTTCAAATGATTTATCTCTCCACTGCTCATTCAAAGGCTGATGATACTTACATACAACTGAAGAAGGACCTGGAGTATCTAGATCTGAAGGTGGGCCCCAACAAAGTAAATGCCACTTTATCCTTTTCATCCTTTTCTCCATCTCCCTTGTCTGGACTGCACTCTCTTCTCCTGCTGCTGCCTCCAACATCTTTCCTCTGTTCTGCGCTCTGCTTTCTACTGTCTCTTTGCAATTGAAATGAAAATGTCTTCTATTTGAATGTCTTCTTATGTAATTGACCATTTGAGCATCAAAAGTCATTTTTTCCTTTAATAATCTGGTGAATCCAACAAACAGTCTAATGTGACTGTCGTGAGGTGATAGATCTGTTTTGCTTCCTACATTATAAATCATGATGTTCAGTTTGTCTAGATGCTTTCTATTGGATAATAGTAATCGTACAGTATTTTCAGGAACAGTGGGGTGATGCTGTTATGTCACCTTATTTGTGAAGGGAATTGAAGTTTTTACAAGCACATGGCTGAATTACTAGTCATGTGAACTCCAATTCCTGTGTGAATGTTACAAATTCTCTTAATTCACTGACGTATTACTGCCATATTTAAGCTATCTATCTCATTTAGCCAGCTATTGGCATATTTTCCATTGACAAGGCATATAATCCTAATGAATTTGTATGTTTAAACACCACAATGCATGAATTAGAAATCTGGTTTGTGTTTTTGGAATGGAGGGGTGTCATCTAACGATGTACAGTACGTCCTATAACTCCTCTCCATTTGCTGTTTCAAAACAGATCCAAAGTATTGACCCGATGATCGTTTCAGTACACAATGTGTTTGAAAACTCGACTCCACACAGTTTTGGGTACTGTTGGAATGTAAGGACGGTGTGCATACAAAGTGAAAAACACCATTTCACTGCTTTGCAAAACGAATGTGATGCATCCCTGGAAATTATGAAGGATTTTGCACATGGATACCTTACTCCTATTGTTCACTGCGTGATACTCCAACACTGCTATGAGATGATGGGAAGGAAGTTATATTGGCAAAGAGCTTCCTTGCATGCTGTTAAGCATTTTTGAATGTATTTGATATCTTCAGTTTTTCTATGCTTTTGCTTGTTAAAAATGAACCAATGGTGCTCTTTAAGAATTATACGGGCGAAGTTACATTTTAAGGCCTCTAGTTTGATTGTGGTAGCCGGCAGAAATGGACATGCAGCGATGCGTTCAACGTGGATTTAAAAGAATATTAAAGAAAATTGGTATTGCACTTAAATACTACAAAGTTAGAGATCTTGAGAGAGACAGCTTACAGAAAAATAGTCAACTTTCAGACTTAGAGTCTTTGTTTGACCATCCCTAAATCGTTAAGACTCTCATCTTTAAAACTGAATGTATGAGAATGAGAATGTAATTCAGTCTTTCTTTTAAAAACGTGTAGTCTCCAAGCCCCAACTAAAATATCCTGTCATCACTTAAATAATCTTCCCAGACTTGATAAAGCTTCCTACAGAACCACAGAATACATTATAAAACTGTTCTCACAGCCTGTGTAGTACTCCGCATGACGAGTAACTGACTTTGACATGCAAAATAGGTGGAATGCCCCTTTTACTGAGTCCCGTTCACACTGGTCCATACCGCTGTGCTGGGTGTTATGCTGATCCTGATGTGGGTGTGTTATGAATATTCCACCCACACTTCTCAGCTTCATGCATTACTTACTGTTGCAGATAACTAGAAGATGATATCTGTAGAACCCTGAGATATTAATCATATATCATATTATTATAATGATAACAAAAGAGGAATGTCAGTCCCTACAATAGAACGGATTATAGAAATATACAAGTTCCTGTAAAAGTATTTTATCACATTATGAATTACATAAAAGAAGGAAAAACAAAAGAAAGTATAGTACAATTATTGTAGAAAAAACAAACCTGACCAGATATGTTTTGAGTCCAGATGGGTATATAATAGGAATCAAAAAACAAAAAAACAAACAATTTCCCCTTAACTTAGCAAGAGAATACCTATTGAAACCAATACCTCATGTTTGATGGTGCCCTGGTTAAATAGCCCACATCCAATAATTAAATGATCACAAAACAATAAAAACAAACATCAATCATATTCATATCGTAAACAGTGTTTCCCATAAAATGATCTAGTTAGTAATAAAATACAGTTTCATAAAGATGCTAACATGGCCACAGACTTTTGGCAGAGGATGGTGTTTCTTTTGCCAGTTTATTTGCTTAAAAGCAGATGTATCTAATTATTTAACTTACATTTTAAAGATCGTAAAAATATATATGTTAAATGGTGATTAGATCTGTGATTTCAGTCTCATATCGCTGACTTTGCCACAGCTGTCTCTGCTCTCTGCCAGCATATAGAGTACAGCTAACTCCACTGCCATGAAACTAGAGGCCTTACAGTTGAACTTTTACGCCTTTTTAAATTATAAATAAAATGAACACAAGTAAATACATCTCCCACATGGTTCATATGAAGGACTTGGCTCTTGGACTTACTTAAAGCCATAAGCAGCCAGGAAAGAGCAGCTTTGGGGGTTTTAAGATTTTTCCGACCACAAAGATGCAGAACTCTCTCTGCATCAATGTTCTTGCACTTCAGCTCATGTTTTAATTTTGCGTTGTTTGATCTATATTTTTTTCCGTCATTTTTTCTAGATCCATCCAGCTTGATTTGTGTCGCATTCTTGCTGTATGTGGAAAATCCACACAGCTGTTGGAAGTACTTAAGTAGAGATACTCAAACTATGTTATTTGGTTATTGATATTAAATATTCTATTTTATTTCTGGCTATTGGGAATTTCAGGTTACTGGACGTGAGAATTTTAAAACAGAAAAACCATCAAGGCCGGTGAAAATAGCAGAAAGTGATGCTGATGTAAGTGAATCATTTTCTTCTCAGGATTTAAAGACACAGTGTGATAATCGCCTTGTTTATCCGCCTTCTTATTTTCTTGTAAGATCTACATTTCCGAATTCTCAGAATCCACTACAGAGCAGCGGCTGACTTTAGTCTGTCTTAACTGTGTGTTTCAGTGTGGTTTTGTGTGTATGTGTTCTTAAGTTGTGGTAAACAGAGGCTGCGAAGGGAAGGGAACGTGTGTACATTGCAACACTGTGGGGACACCCATCCACACTGCACAGTCAGGGCCTGAGAGTATCGACCACAGCTTTTATTTTCCTCCCTGCAATTTAAAGAGAAAAATACATGTAATGGGAATTTAAGATGTTGAGCTGTTAAATTTTTCAGTTTGATTTGCCTGACCCTGCTTTTCTCGTTCTTTGTTTTCTGCTGAATAGAGGTAAATAAGATGGATGTCCTGGCTTTTCATCATTAGCATTGTTCCACTTTAACAATTTATAAGAAATTGCCAGTAAATTGTCTGAACAATGAATATTTCATGCAATTAAAAACAACAATATACAGCAGCAAAAATAAAAACAGCTTAATTATTAATTGAACAGAATGATAAATAGATCTGAGAAAGAAAATTCACTGTGTGAGAAAGACTGTGAACTAGGCAGTCTTATGTTGTTTTCATAAACACATAACCCATTTCTGGGAAAACAAATCTGTCACTCTCAATAAACACGGTTTTCTCCAAAAGTGAATGTGAAAATATGGATTTTTGATTATGATTACTTATAATGGGTATTACCAGATCTCACCCCCAAACTAGACAGTATAGACCCTTTTGATATTTCTCACTGCGCTGATGAGAGGAATTCCTCTGGGCTTTCCACATAGATGAGTCTTATTGACATATTTACAGACAGCGAAGACGGCGGCAGACGATCAATTTGTTTGTGTTGTTTGAATATAGTAGCATGAAGACTAGAATGGAACAGTCGAGCTGAGTAGTAAACAGATTCCATATCTCATCAGCCCAGTCCCCGCTTGTTTTTCTGTTGCATTATGGCTATACAGTGAGTAATGGGAAGGAGAGATACATATAGATTTGTTTTCCCTCTCTGTTCCTGAATTCTTATTGTTTCCATGTCTTTCCTTCAGGTAAAATTAAGTCGACTGTGTGAACAAGACAAGATTCTCCAGGAGCTCGAGGCCAGGATACGCACTTTGAAGGATGACAAGGTTCTTGTTTGATACAAATATAGAACTATCTTGTTGTACAGTATGTACAGTAATTGTGTGTGTGTGTGTGTTAGCCTGTACATTTGTCATCTATACATGCTTCTTGTTTCATGGCTGTTTCTCTCGTTTCCCTTTCTAGGACAAGTTGGAGTGTGTGCTGGATGTTTCCCACCAGCAGATGGAGCAGTACAGAGATCAGCCGGCACACGCTGAGAAGATTGCCTATCAGCAGAAATTACTACAAGAGGATGTTGTTCACATCAGGGCTGAAATATCTCAAGTCTCCACAGTAAGACTCAAGCATAACTACAAGTTGACTATACATAGGATGGAACATACATCCTCTTTGATTTCTCACTTAAAATGTGCATTTTCCATTTAGGTTTTGCAGGTACAATGCTGTAAAATAAACTGTTTAGACTGTCTCTACTTGTACATGCTACCACTTGCAGTATACTTTTGTTCGTTGGAAGCAAGAGGTTCACTTCTATTTTAAGTTGTTCCCTTTTGACGGTTTCTGCTACTGTCACTATGTTTCATATTGACTGTGACTATCAAAATGAGTGCTCGGGGACAAACCTGACACTACAACGAAACTAACAAGTATATTTCTCCATCACACTGCGTAACACTTTAGTCAAATATATTCATTGATATTGAAAACATTCAGTTACAAATACACTGCAAGTTTACACACACAAAACAAACAAGAGCATTTTTGGCTTTCTGTGTCAAAGACATTTCTGACCACATTGGTTATGCTCAAACATTTTGGACACTCAATGGACACAGTCAGTATATTATAATAATGACATGGAAACAACAGTTCAAATCCAAGTGAATTATTATTTTTCTTTTAAGATTTCAAGTGATAGATCATGATAATACTAAACTAACTATCTACTCATGTGCTTACTTACTGTATGTGTAAAGTGTCACCGTCTCAAGGCTTTAACAAGAAGACCATTCATGTATCATTGGCCCATGAGATGAGGTGAGTATCTGAAGCTGTGTCTTGTCTCTTTAGAAAACGTGAAGTATCTCCTTCTTTGTTTTGTAGGAGATGGAGAACGCGTGGAATGAGTACAGCCGGCTAGAGAGGGACGTGGACTGGCTGCAGTCGGCGCTGCAGGGACAGATGAGCCGCAGCGACCTCTTTCAGGTCTGTGGCTCACTGATCTCTGTCGTTCCTTCTCATGGATGGGTGTGTGTGAGAATGAGTTACTCCTGATTTCATATACACAGTCAAAACAAATTATTCTAGAGGTTGTAATATGATGAGCTTCAAATTTAAACTACACTTTGCCTGGGTCCACAAGTGATTTTACAGTGTGTTAAAGATAACATGTTTGTATGTGTTTCTCTGTGAGCAGCAAGAGAAAGTCCAGATCAGGAAAGAGCTGTGGAGGATTGAGGATGTTATCGCAGGCCTCAGCACCAGTAAAGCCAACTACAAAGTCACTATCTCCTCTGTTACCAACCCAGGTATGACACTTGGAGCTTCCATGTGTACAAAGCCATTTGTTCTGTGTGATATGTGCATTACAAGCCATGTGGTCGTGCTACTGCATCTCACCATTAAAGCACTTGATCATACACTCGATACTAATGCCTTGAACATGACCCATGGGAAAAGAAAGCACTGTCTGTACAGCGTGTATTCATGTTCATATACATTGAATTCCCCAGAGAGGAAGTTTGTGCCTTCAGTGTCGGCGTCACCAGTGCCTTCTGTGTCTGGGAGCCCGTCTGCTATGGAGATGCGGTTGTCCCAGCAGCCACAGCACAGCCCCCGCCTCAGCCTCAGCCCCAGCACCCCCACCCTGTCCTCCAGCCCCAGCCAGCAACACTGGGTGGACGCAACCATCACCAGTGGGCTGAAATGGGTGAGTGTACAGTTTGTGTAGCTTTGCTAACTAAATTAGTCACATTTTTCTTTCATCTTCTAAAATAGTTTTACAAATGGTGGTCAGCGCAATCACAAGAAGAAGTTATTTTTTCTCTTTTGGGTTATTTTTTCTAGTTACCCTTTTTTGCAGCACTAGTTACCTTCAAGGTTTGCAACTATCAATATTTTCATCATAAAAGCAGTCTGTTAAGGTCCGGGGTATATTTGGTTTATACGACCATTTACCCAACATACACCAAGATATTCCGTTTTAGAGGAAAATCTGCACATTTGAAGAAGCTGTAGTCAGTAAATGTTTAGCATTTTTGCCCAATAAACAATACATTTTGCAACATTAATTGATTAAGTAATAAGGATTTTGGTTGACCCATCAATTAATGAACTAATGATATCATTCATATCTAAAGGCTCTAGTTTTATTGATAGTTTTTGGGCCATTTGTGCCTTTATTGGAAAGCAGATAGTACAGAAAGAGACAGGAAACAAGCAGAATGAGTACTGTTACCTCACATTTGTATGTAACATTAGATATGTATTGGTAGTTTTGTAGATTAAAGAAAGGACTGATGTCGAATGTGAGATAGCTGTTTGTGAGGATTTTCAGTATTTAACAATGAACAGTTGTTGTGTATGCAGGGTGAGGATGATGTGCCTCCCAGACCTCCTCTACCTCAGCTCTATAGTCCTGATGAGCATCCCCCTGCTGTGCCCCCGTTGCCCCGGGAGACAACAGTCATCCGGCATACTTCTGTACGCGGCCTCAAACGACAGTCAGATGAACGCAAAAGGGACAGAGAGATTGGCCAGTTCACTAATGGAGACGGCAAGGTATATAGTATGTGTATCTTTGTGGTCGTGCCGCTGATATGTCTACATTTATCTAAGGTTTTTTAATCTCTGTCTTTGAATTTCAGGTGGAACTAAGACCTTTCCTGAGCGATCCAGAGCTTATGGGAGCTGGAGACGGCTCAAGCCACATCAGTGTAGCAGCATCAGGACATGAGGGTTACCAGACATTACCTAGCAGAGGTGTGTGGATGATAGAATCAGGAGAACACATTTATTGAGGGGCAGCTTTTTTTTTTACTGTGTAGCTTTTAGCTAAGCTTTCCAAATGTTTGTTGGCTTTCCCCTCAGGAGTGGCGGGTTCCTCGCTGAGGCTGAATAAGTCCTCCAACATCTCTTCATATGTGACCATCCGAAGATCCACCTCAGCTGCAGGGGTGACGGTGAGGTTCAGATATATTATTAGAATATTTATATTTTCCAGTACATAAAAAGCACATGGTATAGTAATGTTTTTTTTATATATCTTTAAAAAAAATGAAAAATATGATCCATCATAACACGATGTAAGGACTTTGTCACGCTTCAATTTCATGGATAGATTTTAGATAATAATATTGAATTGCCTAAGATATAATCCATTTACCAAACGTATTCCTTATAATTCTTGATGGATAAGCAATTCTGTAAAACAAAATAACAAAAACAATTTTTTACATATAAACCGCGTATCATATTCATTCTGTGAGTTGTCTACCGTGTTCCTTTTTCATACCTTATTAACATTAGATTTAACCTTCTTGTTTGTTTTTATTTCCCTCCACTTCTTTGCATTCTGCTGCACCTTTTGCTCGTGTTATCAACTCTCTTTCCTCCCACTCCTCTCAGGAGAGACCAAAAAGTGCCTTGGAGCGTCTGTACTCCGGGGAGCCGGCCCAGCAGCAGCAGCAGCAGCAGCAGAGGGGGAAGATGAGTGCTGATGAGCAGCTGGAGAGGATGAAGAGGCACCAGAAAGCCCTCGTCCGCCAGCGCAAACGCACCCTGAGCCACGGAGACCGCCACGCCTCTCCATCCTCGCGCACACCGCCTGCACCCTCGCGCCCACTTTCTGCAGACTTGGGATCAGTATGTTACTAGAACAGTATCACATGTCACAATCTCATGCATGACGACAACCAAACCCAGAGTGGTGATCTACAATCCGAGACTTAAAACAGCAAAGTTTGGCTTTTCTCACTTTCTGACATTACAAAGTCAACAGAAATACGTTATATTAAGCAGTATGATTATTCACTGTGTGGATCTAACTGTGCTTAATTCATGCATGTTGTTCTCAGATTTTAATAGGCCTTTTTCACTGCAGACATTTGATTTATCATAGCAGGAGAAAAAAAGCTTTTACTAAAAACATCAACGATGGCTCTGTTTTTTCCAGTAGTGTTCTAGTGAGCTTTGACAGTGTATCAATTGAATGGAAATACTTTTTCATTATTCCTTCATGTGACATGTCAACATATCTACAATGAAAAAGGCCTTCAGAGAGTGGCTTTACACTCGATACTTAACTGTAGCACAAAAATTGTTTATTATTAGGTGGAAATAATTACATTTACAATTATTAGGGATGGTCTTCCTGCTTAAAGCATATATCTTGCCTATCACACTCGTAACACACTAATTACCTCAGGCCTCAATGCCATCTACATTTCACATTAAACCCAATTTCTTGGTATTTTTCCCATTAAAGGTGGGGTAGGTAAGTTTTAGAAACCGGCTCGAGATACACTTTTTGTTATATTCCATGGAATGCTCTTAACATCCCGATAGCAATGAATATCTGAAGTGCTTTGACAAAAAATCCATAAAAAAATGTCATCTGTGGAAGCCGTAGTACTGTAAAAAGCTGGTTTCTCCAAAATGACCTACCCCACCTTTAATAGTTGTTAGACACTAACTTTGCCCGCCCCGCCCCATTCTATCTCTCTCTTTACTGATTTTTTCTTCATTCTGAAAGTATAATTTAACCAAGTTCAATATTTCTTTTTCCAGTGGTTCTCTGCTTACAGAATAGCAGAAGAGACCTGTCTTTCCTCATTTAGATCAATGTCTGCTGTCCTTCAATTAGATCAATTGTAGCTGTCTCTAAGCAGTCCATTTATGTGTGTGTATGTGTTTGTGTGTGAGAAAGAGAGTAAAAGAGAGAAAGTGCCTTATTTTCTACATTGACATACACTGAGCAATGCCTATTCAAGCATATCCATCTCAACCTAATCATGGCATTTGTCCTGCTTTTCTTTACTGAATCAATATGAGGATGTTCTTATGGATCTGGGACTACTGTTCTCCAATCTACCCATCTTCGTTAGAGGAAGCCTTTCATTTAGACAATACTTATGTGTATGCTAATCCATTTCAAAACATAGGTTAAGTGATTTCAGTTTTGCTCAATGTCTTTATCAGTTAGTTAATTGTTAGTAATAAGAATGCCTCCTTTTTCAAATGTGAATGTAAATGCAAAAAATAAACGTTATTTTCGAATGCACTCATATTGCCATGTTTTTTTATTTATTATATTGTTTTTCTCTCAATACATACAATATGGTTTTGTTTGGTCATCAGTATGAGTGAAGTGGTCGTTCCTGTCTGTCACTGTGCTGTCTTATTTATCACTGGTGTAGACTAGAGAATCTACAGCAGGCTGTGGTATTGAGAGCATAGGCATGCATATTCAATGGATGCATGCTCCCCCTTTTTTCATGTTCACACCTGTACACACACACAAACACACACAAACACACACACACACACACACACTCTGCTGCATTTCAAATCATGTTAGCATACTTATGCAATGTACAGTACTTGTAACATATAATGATGTGGGAAGGCAAGTGAATCCAGTCATTTTCAAATGTACTTGATAAGCTGTGTCCTGTTCTTTGTTTAAAAATGTATTATTTTCCTTGTTGTGTTGTCCAGTGGAAGAGAGAGCAGGACTTTGACCTGCAGCTGCTTGAGAGAGCTGTTCAGGGGGAGGAGGCGCAGGCAGTGAGGAGCGTTCAGGGGGAGGAGAGACCTCCCGAGCACAAGGAGAGACCCCGCTCGCACTCTGACGAATGGCTGACCCTGCGCTCTACGGCCACGACTCCTCCTGCCCATGAGGTCGACCTGGAACCACTAGACTATGACCTGGACCTTAACAAAGAGGTACGTTATCTTCTCCAAGCAAAGTCATACAGCTTTGTTGTTTGAAATCAATACATGCATGAAAAAAACATGATACTCAACCAAGAACAACCACAGTCCAAAAAGTATATAAGAAGATGAACGACAAAGTTTGTTCCTTTTATTCCCTTATTGCATTCAGGCCCTGGAAGCTGAATACAAATAACAATCTAACTGATGTTGGTGCGTGGATATTATGCTTTATAAATGCAGACATTTCGAAAAAACCTTGAATTCATCATAAGCTTTGACCTGAGCCTCAATCAAGCTGGAGAGTAAAGGCTTTGTTAAAGTCCTTATACTTAACTTTAAGAAATGTGAAGCGCATTTTAACTCATTCGTATATCCTTAGTTTAATGAAGGTTGTATATCCAATCTTAATCTGTGCAAGTGGATAGATCCTTTTTTGAAGTGACCAGATAGCAAAGGTGATGAAATAGCAGCTTGGACCTTAACACACTATATCTGTTTCGTGTAGCTTTCCAAGCCTCAGAAAGTGTTGATCCCGGAGCGCTATGTGGACTCAGAGCCTGAGGAGCCTCTCAGTCCGCAGGAGGTGGAGGATCGTTATCGTAAGGTGGAGCGCATCAAGAGCATCTTGGCAAAATCCAGGTAAATGAAGTGTTGCTGATGAACACCAGAGTGGGCTTTTGGGGAGGCCTTGCAGTGAGCCAAATTGTCCGTTTTGGCAATAACTCGCCCTACAGACATTTCCTCAAGCACAATGCTAAACCTGGCCACCTTTCGAAGGCACCGGGCTTCAGCACATGCTCCTTCCTTCACATTGAAGGAAACACGTTCCCTGCAAATAATGCATTTCCACATTATTACCAATTGATCATGTTTAGTTCATTTGGTGTTTTATTCCAGTGTGCACAACCTGGCACCTGCAGTGACCGTGGACAAGCCAGGGGTCGGGCTGGTGGCTCTGGACTCAGCGCTGCAGGAGCAGGAGAGGATCATCACCATGTCCTACGCTCTGGCATCGGAGGCTTCGCTCAAGAGCAAACTAGTCACAGGTTGGTCATTATAACAATTTAAAAAGAATGTTCTGTTCCTTTGAGCCTGTAGGTTGTTGTAGGTTATACATCTTTGCTTTATAATGAATGTAGAAATCATTATTTTACAGAAACACTTAATAATAACTGTACCTGCCTGATAAAAAAAGAGAAAAAGGTACACAGTTTGAGTCAAATTGATCCTGGCATCAAATGGACATCTTTTGGTTGAAGAGGGGATAAAGAGAGGGAGGTAGCCTTTCAAGAATCCTGGATTGATGGAGTGGAGATGAGAAGGGCGTAAGGTGCAGATTCAAGCAATAAGGCTGTTCATTTCCTAATAACTGAACATTATTCCTTCTTAGGAGCTCAGATAGTCTCTAATTGCAATCCATGTAGGATCTTTCAGACAGGGGAGGAATAGCTTGATGAGGCCATTTTGTGTGCTGATCAATGACCCAGTCAAACTCCACTCTCCTGCATACCGTTGCTGCTGCTGCTTTGAACGCAGCTCTGAACCTGCATAAAAGACACTGCGCTCACTTTTCATCTCTTTCATACTCTACAGCAGACAGGCAAGTTCATTTTCACTGGAGCTGCAGCAGATTGTCAGCCTGTGTGCCTCACTCACACATATATGCACACACACACACACACACACACACACACACACACACACACACACACACACACACACACACACACACACACACACACACACACATCTGTCACACACACTAACACTCAAGCTGTCAACGTGTGTGGAAGCTTAATATGCACAGTGAGGCAAAGTCAACAATTATAACATTATTTCCAGCATAGAGAAATGTCAGAGAATATAACTGCTGGCATCTTGTCAGCGGAGACTAAATAAATGATTTTCTTTCTCTCCCTTTGGTGTTAAAGCAAGGTATGCTGGTGCACTTTCAAATCCTTGAATTAAAAGAAAGGTCCTTTCATGGTATTATGCATGAGAGACTTCAATAATGATCGCATTAAAGCAGGAATATGCAGCCATGCAATTATGTAAAGTATACATAAGAAGGTGCTTTTGTTTTTAGATATGTTATTCTAAATAATTTGTTATTTTGTGTTATTACTTGTCAGGACCATTAAAAGGAATCATATTAATGATCTCAAAAAAAATAAACTGCCTTGTCTAATCCTTAGTGTCTTTTTCATTATGTTTAGAGTTCAGAACATTTTGAAAAAAGAAATCAAGATTTCCAGGTGCCCAAGGCTTAGATTGCTAAATTATTTTCAAAAATCTTTTAGTCTTAGAACAAAAAATAACGTTTTACACAGAGAGCAGCAAAACCTCAAATGTGTGTTCGTGGCTTCTGCCTAATAGCCGACTAACATGATTAACTAATCATTACTGTCAATCAACTCATCAATCTACTAGCTCTTTAGTAAATGCTACCAGTTTAATGCTTCTATTTGTATCATGCCATTGTGGGCAATGCTGCTGATTGTTTAGCAGATGAGACTTATTACATTATTGGAGATACATCATCACTGCGATGGAGTACATCAATGCCAGATATTCCCATTGCTAATTGCAACTTACATTCTTTTGTAAACTGACTTTCTAGAAAAGCAATATGAAAGGAAATATACAGTGACTTCATTATGTATTCATGTCGCCCACCCCCTGTGTCATTAGGTAAACAAACACAAAAGTCTAGTGTTCAGAACAAAACAGGCACCAGTTTTATCCTTCAATGTGACGTTAACAGAGTTCGCCGTGTGACTAACAAACCAATTTGATTTTCTCTTTTCTTTTTTCCTCCTCTTCTCGATAGTTCCACTACTGGCTAACATCCCCACCTATCCTCCTCCTCCTCCCCTTCCTCCTGCTCCTCCTCTTCCTCCTTTCCACCCTGCTCCTTATGTTCCTCCTGCTCCTTCGGTTTTTCCTTCTCCCTCTGTGTCTCTGGCGCCTCCCTCTCCTCTAAGCAACGGAATTCACTACACGTTTGTCTAACCCAAGAAATAAAGTAAGGCCTAACTGCATGTTTTACGGTGTTAATGTCTCCAAGACCTCACTAATACCCTGCAACACGGTGCTCCTGTGTGTTCTCGCTGCATGCTTGCTGCTCTGTTGTGATTGTAGGAAACACATCTTGTCTAGGTTAGGGAAGCCCTGCCTCTACTCCCATTATAATCAAAACAAACATCTGCAGGCAGTCTGCTCATCCCACTGTGATAATTGTCTGTAAATTGTTTTTCTCTTTTTTCTTTTTGTATCACTGCCAAAATATTTATGGATGGTTGAGGAAAAAAAGGGCTGAAATGAACATGACTGTTGTAGCATTGTGTATAATTAACAAAGGAGAAACCTTTTGATTTAGCACCTTGACAGTTCAGTAGTCAGCACAGCTGCATTCACAGCTCTAATTAGCTCCCCATCTGTAGTGTGGCCTCGCATAGTCAGAATATATACACAGTAGATATCATTGTTGTTACTGTAAACGCATTAACAAAGGTTTACTGCCTTATTAATCAGCCAACAATGAGTGATAACTTGATTTTTTCCCCTGATTTCTTTCTATAAATAAGACCATTATCCTTCTACAGGTAGGTTAAATATGTGTATCTATTTCTGGATAGAATTATAATGTGCACTAGATGTGCACAGTTACGTAAAATAATCTGATTTTAATCAAAAACAATCAAACACAATGACCAAAGTCTCCACCGAGCTGCCTTTTACCTCTTGGTATCATGCAGCATTTATGTCATGTCAGAGGAAGTGAAAGCAAATTACTATTTGCATGACTTGAATGTGTCGTTGTCTAATATAAGAGGAATCTTCATTCCTTCGAGAAGTTGTTCGACCGCATGCTTCACTGTGATTGAATGATAACGTACCTCTCTCATCCCATGTTCATTTCTGATGTTATTATATGTGTTGTTGCAGTTGGTTGAATGTTATTTACACTATAACTACACAACAAAAAGACAGTCAGGGTAGACCATTAGGATGTATTTAAAGGGAAGTAACTAAGAACCGCAACACAGAGATATCCCTATCAGTGTTTAAAGTAACTTTATTGTTAATATTGTCAGCATAACTGTTTACCAACTACTTCACAAAACTGATTTTACAATGATACACTGTAAAACCTTCTTTTCAACTAAGAATTCAAACATTGAGTAAGAGTATATGTTTATCTGAATATCACATGTGCTAACAATGAAAGGAATGGAAGAACCAAGCAGGGAATGAGAACCTTTTCATTTGTGGTACTTACTTTGTCTTTCTCTCTGATCACTTCTCAGCTCAAGCCATTTCTGGACACTGAGGTGCTATTCCAAAATGACAACAAACACCTGGGATCTACAAGACAAGAGGATTTGGCACACCTTTCCATAGAGCAGTACAAGAACGTTACTAAACTTTTATCCTGCTCTCTGAGGCTCACGAAGCATTGACTCGTTAAAGATTTTCTAATTTCTGGAAACGATGGAAAATGGAAGACTTCGCAATGGGCGCTGATGTGCTTATTAACTATGGGAGAGTCTAACCAATGTTAATCTCACGATAACATTTTCTACATTTTATTGCACTTTGAATTGTTCACTGTATCATGTTTTCAAGGTATGACTGAATCACTTTTGTCTGCAGTGTGATCTCAACTGGGAACCTGTTTTTGTTTGTTTGTTTTTGTTAGGTACAGAATGTTAAGAACAAAAGGTACTAAATGCGTCATGATGGTAGTATTTTTGTTAAAGCTCAGATAATATTCTTACAACAAACCACTTGAAATATCATATGTATGTACCTGTAGCACTGCCAGTCTCCTTTTAGCTTGCCAAAATGAATTTTATTTTTGCTTACATCAGAAGAAAAATAACCTTTAACATATTTTTTGTGTGACTGGGAAAGGTTGCAAATGGAAATTTATAAAAATGTAAATATTAAAGATATTAACACAATATCTGGTTAGTGAAATATGTATTATTTTATCATTTATATTCATATTCATTTCATTTTGTTTGAATGAGGTAAATAGCATAATCGGCTAAGGTGTCCGATAACTACCACATGAGCCAGAAGGAAAGGGAAATTCAATAATCCATGACCTTCAGTTTATGAATCTGCCTTGTAATCGACGCAATTTAGAAAGGCAATATTAAACTAAATGATTAACTTTTCATCTTATCATATTATATTTTATATTACTGACGCATTCATTGAATGTATTTTATTCTAATCATGTACAAAGAAAAGTACAAAATGTGGACTCATCATAGTTCCAGGATTCTCTTTGAACCTCCACATTGATTGCCTTGACCCATTAAACTTCATTCTATTATTTGAGAAGGGAACCAAACTAAGGCATGCTCAAAGGAGGTGAACTCTCAATACAAAAAAGAGAGGCTCCTTGAAATGTTTTTTTTAAGTTCAAAGCTTTTTCAATCTCAAAAGGGCATTTTTAATTCCATGTATTTTCAACCAAGAAGGTGGATACTAATAACTCTGGATTCTGAAGTACATAATTCATATCTTTAAATCATGAACCATGTCTCCCTTGCAATTGTGAAAGAAACCTTTTGAGAAATACATGTATTGACCTATCTGATAAAAAAAAAAAAGAATACAGAGACAATCATTTGTTACGGAAAGTGCTGTTATTAACAGACTGCCATTTTCAGCACAAATATGTTGCATGTTTATCATGAAGAACCCTGGTACATATGCTGATAGGATGTGATGCAAACACTATTAAAGGCTACAACGCCCACGCCTGATAGTGAGCCGTTGTGTTTTGGCTCCCTCCCAAGTGACATATTTATCTTTAATTCGAGAGTAATTACTTTCACTCGTGTGCATCATGGTGCTCTTTGAAAACACCTGAGAGAGCAGCCTCTCCATCTCTCCTCCAGTATCGGGGCCCCACAGCGCCTACTGGCCCTGGTGGCTAGAAGACCCAACACATCCTCTGTTGTGCTTATTTTGCAATAAAATGGGATGTTTTTCCCTCCTCCTGCAGAAATTCACCCAAGACCCTCCACTGGGGATTGTGGCATTTCCATGTATTGACGTTTGGCTGGTGGTTCATATACATTTGTTATTCTAAGCTCTGGACTTCAAAGAGAATGAAAGAAGGCCTATTATGCTAATAAGGTCCTGTTCTGTTCAACGCAATCAAGGCCTACCGCATTAATCCTTAACTAAATACTTACTGGATTCAGAAATGCTTTTATCAGATGCAGAGAGACTAAGACACATACTGCTTGGATTCATGACAGGGATGTTTGTTAGAGAATAGTTTTTGTAGAAGTAAATAAAATATAATAAGTAAACAGCATCAAATGTCTCAATGTAATTAGCAGTAAAGTATATCATGTCAATGTAAAGTGACACTGGTGAGGTGAAAGCTTTGACTTGTGTTGCTTTCCTTTCTGCCTGCTCTGTGTTGAAAGGAAGAGCCCATTGAGACCATGCTGAGGAGTCTGACCTTGTTCTCAGGTCCGTATTGTTCACTGCTCTGCACACTGCATGTGTAACACATTCACACTTTTCCCCTGATAGGGGAAGAGAAAGAAGAAATCCTACACTGATTCCCAGAGATACATATTTCCATCACATACATATTATTGTTACTTGCCGTGAATGTCTGAGGATTAGATTACAGTGGAATCACAGCGAGCGCCTTCTTTGTGCACTGTGGGGATCCATATTGTAGTCCAATTGTACAAATACAAAACCAAGGAGGCTATGCAATAGGTGCTTTGATTTCAAAATAGTATTTTATGCTGTTTTATCATTTTCAAGCTCCACACACGGTACATTTTTTAATATGTAAGAAATGGAATGGTGATTTGTTGAATAATTGAAGAGTTAAGAATCACTGAATATTCTTCCCAATGTGTATGCATGCTATAAAAAGAATAGAGAGAAAGCTGAATTACAGTTGCGCTGCACCACACTGACTTACTATTTGCAGAAACTAAAACAATGCCTTTGTGTAATCTTTCATTTCAAAGCATTCACAATTGCGATATCATTGGGGAGATGAGGCAAATGTACAAATATTAAATATTGAAAAGAGAACACAATTCCTTTGACATAAATGATTAAGCCTACGTTGAGAAAGTACTGTGTAAAATTAAACAATGAATTAATCTCATGTCCCTTAAACGGAAGGCTTTTACAATACCTACAGTGAATTGGGCTTTTTGTACATAAAAGCAATTGCTTTGTAAATGAACTGAATGCCCCCGGGCCTCCTCTTTAATCTAGCAGCTCCTTCCACACACACACACACACACACACACACACACACACACACACACACACACACACACACACACACAAATACATTCATGGATCTACAGTGCACTATCACAGAGATGCATCAGTTTATATGATGTTTATTTCCATCAGTGTTTTTTTCAGTTAAATTAAAAGAGAAAAATGGTGTGCTCACTGTCGTATAAGGCCGTTACCAGAGATGCATTTGGAAAAAAATGTTGATTTAAAAACTGCATTTTGATAAAAAACTGATTCCATGTCTCGTTTGCTGAAAAAGAAGAAGTTTTCACGTTACAAGATTCTTCAAAAACCGAACAGCAGGTAACGTATTCAGAAATACACAACATAAATAGTACAATAAATCATTGGTTTAACGTGTATTCATGAGTACTACAGAGTTGATATTTGTATTACTGTTGGCACTGGGCTCTATGATGGTGTCCCTGATAAGTATATAATTAGAATTGGCATGTTGCACTCCTTATTGCAACATGATTAATCAGTAGTTCTCTGTTAACTTGAAAGGAAATATTAGATCCTGACTAAACTTTGATGAAATCCAGAGTTACAAGTAAGAGATTTGGGTCAACTAATGAGAACAGAGTGTCCCACTTTGCAAGTCCGATTGGGAGAGAGGCGATTTGCATGTATGCAAATAGTGTTTGAGTTCATTGCATAACTTGGAATTCAATAATAACTAAGTCAGTCGTGTTGGTTTTGTGGATGTCGGACCATGTCCGTGGTTGTGACCGTCTGCAGAAGTGTTTCCCTAATGGCTTGTAAGGGTGCTCACAGAAGTGTACTTAGATGTGTGTTATTTCTCATCAATGAGGATCTGCTTAAAGTATGTGACACAACAACAAATTCAGAAGAACTATGTAACTGTTTACAAATCAAGATCAACATCTTCTATATTCAGACATTTAACACAGAGATGTGCCTATCTTTACATTTTCATGTCACTCTCAAAAAAGTAAATGAGCAGAGCTTCCAAAAAATGTCTTTCACAAAGAGCATTTCCAAAGCCTGTTAGGCTAAGATTTGACTTGTCCATGATGTGATGCTTGTAAACATCTTGATCATTAAATGCAAGTGTGAAACAAAGGTGTCTCTGCTCATCAGCACATTGCTTTAAGTCAGGATAGAGCTATACATGATGATTAAGAATATATGCAGATGAAGATATATGAATTAAAGATTTCACTCAGGTTTAATAATAAATATGTTTTATGTGATCATGCACATGTTACAATCCTGTTTAGGTTAGGGTTTAAAATGATGTAATGAAAAGATATTTATACATAGGCTCCTAACAATTGTACAGTGTGTTATAAAGCACTTGGTTCACATTTACAACATATTTACAACTGTTTCAAATGTATTTAAAACTACTGAAGAATTAATATACAGTATATGATAAAACTATATTATACAGTGTTAACGTACACGTTATCTGACATATAAACACTTAAATAAAGCCTTAATGTTTGCAACTGAATCATAATGTGTTACTGTGTGTAAGAAATATTTCTTTTTAATGTATATGCAGTTTCTAATGCTACATAGTCGAGTGTTACTAGGGGCTATGTCCTGCCACATGTGAGGCTTTATTAGTTTAAGGGTATGCTAAAAGGTGTGAAATACAACTAATTTTCTCTTGGATAAAGCAGATAATTGTGAATTCTCATTCAGAATACAAATCACTGTATTCCTGTGCATGAATCAGCTGCACACCTTTAAAACCTGCTCCGTCTGCACAGTAATCAAAGCAGCCTCCCCCCTATCATTCTCACTCACTAACTGAATGCTGTTCTCCAATTAACCATGCAGAACAGGAGAAGAACACATGTTAATTTAATGTAACAAAAATGTTGATTTTCATGCACTCTCCTTTTCAAATATTTATGGGCTAGACTTGAATTTCAAGATGCATCAAAGACTCACAGGGTATGCAAATGTGTCTGCCTTACCCCCCAACAAGTTGGACTGTCTTCATGCACTCCACTATCTGAGCTATGAAGAGGAAGCCATTACAGTCACCTCTGTAGAAATAGGAGTC